GCCATAAAATTATCAAATTTAAACCCATACCTCGTTTTCCGTAAACCGCCTTTAAAAGAAMGAACCAYCGGTGAATGATCCGAAAGTCCGGCAGGATGGAAATGAACAGTAGCATCATGGAATTTAGATGTGCTTTAATGGATCGTATTGGGCTTTAATGTACCGTATTGGGCTTTAATAAAACGTAGTGGGTTTTGATAGACCGATTGGACATTAATGGACCGTATTGGGCTTTAATGGATCTTATTGGGCTTTAACGGACCGTATTTGCTTTAACGGACCGTATTTGCTTTATTGGACCGTATTGGGCTTTAATGGATCGTATTGGGCTTTAACAGACCGTATTTGCTTTAATGGACTGTATTGGGCCTTAATGGATCGTATTGGGCTTTAATAGACCGTATTGGGCTTTAATGAATCGTATTACGTTTTGGTAGACCGATTGAACATTAATGGATCGTATTGGGCTTTAATGGATCGTATTGGGCTTTAACGGACCGTATTTGCTTTAATGGATCGTATTGGGCCTTAATGGATCGTATTGGGCTTTAATGGACCGTATTGGGCTTTAATGAACCATATTGGGTTTTGATAGACCGATTGGACATTAATGGATCGTATTAGTCATTAATGGATCGTATTGGGCTTTAATGGATCGTATTGCGGAGGAGAAAAAGTTATTTAAAAATTTAATTTTATTAAATTAATTTTCCGGCGAGAAAATAATTGCGGAGGATTTCCGACGGAAATATCCGCCGGTAAATTAAATTTTCATTTAAAAAATTTTCCTAAATTTTTAATTAAGTAAATCACATTTTCCTAATTAAGCCAACGAAAGATTTCCGGCGACAGAAATCCGCCGGTAAAATAAAGCATCCGCCGGTAAACTCGACGGAAAATGAATCACCGGCGCCCTCTTTTCCGGCGGACAAATCCGCTGGAAAGTATTACTTCCGGCAGATTTGTCCGCCGGAAAAGAGGGCCTTTTTGGTAGTGCATATATATATGTATATTATTTATTTCAATGAAAGCGATAATTCATAATATTTCCTATTTTCTAACTAGGTTTATAATCTAAAATTATTATTTTTTGGATGTTAATATGTAATATTTTGGATGTCAAGTCAAAATACAATTACCGATAAGTTTTGTATATTACTCGATATGGTTTTATATTACTCAATATCTTTTGGTACATTTGACTTTAAGTTTTTTAGATTAAATAGAATTTTTTTGGTTTTAAGTTATTAATTCTTATATGATGTTGTGTTTTTTTTATTAAATTAAATTCATTTTGGTTTTGGGTTTATTGAAAATATTTGAGATTTAAACATGTATATATGGTCTCTCACATATTTAATTTAAAATAACTTATATAAACGGAAAAAAAAAATCTCCGTTTCCCCATTCGGGATCATCGTTCCCCTTTAGGGATGGGGATGGAGATGTGATTATATTCCCTGGCGGGGATAGAGATGGAAATGGGGATAGAGAAAAGTAATCGAGGACGGGAACGAGTTCATATTTCTAATCTCATTTATTTCCAATGCACCATTTTGCACATGACAGACTTGTAAAAACGTCAAAAATTATCATATGGTTTTCAATAGGGTTGTAGGTGGCTGATGGGGGATTATAGGCAGGAAGATGGAAGGGTCAGGGTTCACCAAAAACTGTGTTCAGGAACTTGTGATGGTAGAGATAAGAACTAACTGTGAAAAGGAGATGTCAACATAACAATCATAACTTGATTACCATATCAGCCAAGGCTTCATCACAGGGATTATAGCACAATCAAAATCAATCAATTGGAACAATATCGTTGTATTATTGTCATCAGTTCCCTTTTTTATATTATTTAGGATCTGTAGATTGCTTAATTTCTGCTCATTAGGAGCTGTAGATTACTAATGTTATGTTGTACCTTTTCCATATTTCTTGTATATGTAGGTTGATATCATGAATACAAATTATCCATTTCTAAAAGATTTATATGGTATCAAAGCAGCAAACTCATCTCATACTAGTTCTTTTTCCTTCTTATCAATCACCATGTCTAACGATACTTTGGTCTCCAACGCCAAAACGGAACCTTATGGCATTCACCACTCTGATAGCCCATCCACCATTCTCGTTTCTCCTCTATTAACCCAGGAGAACTATGGATCTTGGAGTCGTGCAATCACCATGGCGCTTGGAGCTAAAACAAGCTGGGTCTCATTAATGGTTCTCTTCCAATTAAAAGAAAAGGAAGAGATCCACTATTGCGAACGCTGTAATGATTTGGTAAGTAGTTGGATTCTCAGCTCTGTCTCCCCGAACATTAGTCCGAGTATTCTATATGCTGATACTACAACACATATTTGGATCGATCTAAAGGAGTGTTTCTCTCAATCAAATGCGCCTAAAATCTATCAATTAAAACTATCGATTACTGCCTTGAAGCAATAAGGCATGTCTGTTTCATTCATATTTCACACAACTAAAGTCACTGTGGGATGAACTCACATTCATGCTCTCTCTTTCTCCTTGTATATCTGGAAATGCCAAAAGCATTATTGATCAACAACACCAAGATCGTTTTCTTTTTCTGAACTTTTATGATCATCTTGAAGATAAGTTTTCTCCAATAATAGCTTCTGAATAACTTTCATGTTGTTAGTCTGTCTTGATTCATAATTTGCAATCTTGTCATTCAGGTTAGAAATCTGTTTTGTTTTTGTAAATCGTAAGATGGAGAAGACATTGTTACCTGATTGAATGATCATCAATCAAAATTATTATTAGAAGATTTGAAAAATCCAAAATGAAAATATCCCCCTGCTGCGACTTAGCACCGGGTCCCGCTACCCAATTAGCGGGTGGGGTCAAGGGGCAACTCCTTTGCGGGGTCTAGGGCAGCACCTCAGGATTTTTTCTTCAAAAAGTCAACTATCACGTATAGGTCAACTATCAAAGAACCTTGGTCAACTATCGCACACAACAAGAATGAACGATAACTATATCCCATAAGCTTTGTGCGATAGTTTACTGTTTACTTCATCTATCGCACAAGGCATGTGCGATAGTTACTGTTCATCCCATATATCGCACAAGGCATATGCGATACTTGGGAACTATCGCACAACACTATGTATGAACAGTAAACTATCACAGGCTTCTTGTGCGATAGATCCAACTATCGCAACCTCTTTATGCGATATAGTCGACTATCACAGATAACTGATGCGATATAGTCCATTATTGCACACCATTGATGCGATATACTCAACTATCACATACCACTGGTGTTATATACTTAACTATCACATACCCTTTGTGCGAATCTTATTCAAATAAAATTTACTTTGCTCTGATACCAATTGTTAAATCCAGAATCAATCAGATAACAATGAATAAAATAATAAGAACAATAATGTAAAGATCAAATCATCATGTATATTAATAAACTCCCTTAATACATGTTTCTCTCTCTAAGCTAGATTCTCAGTGTACACATCTATTTTCTTTACAAACTACCATTAACAAGCTATTTATATGATTGACTGTACATACAAGTCAAACTACAATTAATCACAATGTTGACTTTAAGCTTTGACCTCTTCAATCGTTAAGCTCTGTGATCTCGGATACAATAATATTTGACCTAACATCATGCAATCGAATTTCTACAGGGACATTGTGACAATTTCTCGACGATTCGTAGGCAAATCCTTTTGATGACACCTTTTCCATCTATTCAGTTGATCTATAATATGGTTTGTCAAGAAGAAAACAACAAGAAATAAATTGTTATTTTCGGGGTTCTAAACTAGAGGTATAAAATGACTAAAACTAAATCAACTACTTATTGCTTTCAAGACGAGTAAACTCTCTATCCTTAAAGCAATTTCTCCCCTCCTGTAGGTGCTTTAGGTTATGGCGAATTACTTCTCAAGATACAATGAAGCAACGTATGTAGGTTGATTATCAACACCGAACAAGTGGTGATAATCCCGATCGGACTATTGAGTAATCAAGGATTCAAGAAGCCTAAAAGTATGATTCTATAGCAAAATACTTTTAGGTTAAATTTTTTTATGAAAAAAAAGATAATTTTTGGTGTTTATAAGTAGGTATATATAGATATAAGTGACAACCCTTTGAATCGTCACGAATTGACAGTTTTTGACAGTTTTTAACCTTTCACGACGGTTCAAACCGTCGCAACTGTTCAAACAGCACCAACAGTTATTATGTGACGTTTCAAAGCGTCGCGACTGTTCAAGAAGGTGCCTATTATACGAACCATCACGATATGTCACTTATAAAGCTGTCAAAAATAATTATATAAACCCCCACCATTTCCAATATATATTAAATTAATATATAGAAAATTGTTCCACTTATATACCCACTTTTGTTCCACTCTTTCACCTATGTGGGATAAGGTGAAACCCACCAAATTCAAAATTTCTCTTCTTCCTAAGACTCAACCCAAAACACTTGAACCTATTTACTTAATTTTGAAAAAATTTCCAACAAACCCCCACCATTTTCAAAATAGACGTATTTTTGTAAAAGAGACCGACACGACTGGACCTAAACAAATTTCGAAATCCTTGGGGTGTTATGCATAAGTAAAGGTGGAGTCTTGCACCTTGAACCTTTACATAGTGAAAGTGCTCAAGTCTAACTAGGATAAGAATTGTTGAACCAATGTCATTGAACCATCTTCCTTTATATGTTAGACGGAAACACCTCACGCATATCCTTTCTCTCATTCATCCAATCACTATAAGTCGACCCGTTGACTGGCCATGGGTCTATATCTTGATTTTCTAGAATGTTTTTAGAGCCAATCCTTTTAACTCATAAGAAGCGGCCTCACTTCCACATTCAGATAGGTGAACCTTGTTAAGAGTGTTCCTGTAACTCAAACACTCCAACACACACTGTGTTACAAGTCCATTAAGAACTAAATTCAACCTGTCCTTACATTACGGTTCCAAGTTCTGCTGACCTTGGGATGGTTTTCAATAATTTTGCAGAACTTTCAGCCATATTCAAATTATGTACTTCAACTTAATCTTGAGTCTTGGTGAAATACCAAGCTTCAAGACAAGGTTCCATCATAGGTGACTATTTATATGTGGGCTTGAGTCCCATCCCTTTCGAAGTGCTTTCAATCCATTTTCTTGGTAATCCTTTCGTGAAAGGATCTGCTAAGTTCTTACTTGATCGTAAGAAGCTAGTTGTGATCACCCCATCATTTATTAACTGATTTACTTGTCTATGTCTAAGTCCGATATGTCTAGACTTACCGTTATACACTTGGTTGTATGCCCTTGTGTGATAACCGGATCCTGGTTATTACCCAAGGTAATTAATGTGTGATTATTTGACTAAATGATTACGTGATAGCATGATAATTGATACATGCTGGTATGAGAATTTGTGTATTAATTTGTTATGTATATATATATGTGTGTGTATATATATATATATATATAAATAAAGTATTTGGTGCATGCATGTAATGCATGCATGGAAAAGGTATGTATGTGTATGTGCATGTATGCATATGTGGGTATGCCTGAGGTGGAAGGAGAAGGGAAGGTGGTTAGCCGACCTTCCATATTTGGAAGTATAAATAAGAGGCTTAACCTCCTCATTTTCTCTTCCTGCTATTTTGAGAAATTTAAGTATCTTAAAGAGAGTTTTCCGGATTGCAAAAGGGTGATTTCAAGTGTTGGTGATTCAAGTTGATTTCAAGCATTTTGGTTTCAAAAGCTTTTTGAAGTGAGTGGTTTCTAAACCTTTTTGTATAAAAATTATTATTGGTTTCATTTTCATATTTCATGTTATTACTCTTTAGAATGAAACCATGTATTTTTGTTGTTTAAGTGTTTATCCGGACATAGGGTAACCAGATAAGTGAATAAACCGGACAAGCCTTGAGCGGCTTATTGTCCGGATTATTTTAAACCAGATAAGCTTTGAGCGGCTTATTGTCCGGAGTTTGATAAACCGGTTGAGTGTTGAGCGGTTTATAGTTGGTAGTATTACTTGTGATTATATACTGAGAAGTAGGAATATGATCATAGGGTGAGCGGTTTATTTAAACCCGTCAAGTCCTGAGCGGATTATTGTCCGGACTTGATATCCGGACAAAGATGATTTTGCTTCTAAGTGTTAAACCGACCAAAGCATTATGTGGTATGTTGTCCGGACTTGATATCCGGACAAACTTGATTTTTTAATTTTAAGTGTTTAAATCAGACGATTCTTGACCGGATTGTTGACCAGATTGTTAACCGGTTGGTATTGAAAATATTTTGATAGAAATTATTATTTTATCATAAAGTGAAGTTTTGATATAAATGATTTTGGAATGATAACAATTCCAATGGATGTGGTCTATTCGGAATTATTTTTATAAATGTTTTGATGAAGTGATAAGGGTGGCATATCAAGGAGTGGTGTCCATTTGATATAAGGGTGGCATATCAAGGAGAGGTGTACCATGGGATAAGGGTGGCATATCAAGGAGAGATGTACATTTGATATAAGGGTGGCATTTGTATGTGTGTGGTTTATATAACTCTTTCTATTATATTCTTTAAGACTACCGAGGTCTGGAATCTTTATTTCTTTGTGATTTAAGGATTTAGGATCAAGGTTCTTAATTGGAAATCATAGATTGGATGTTATTGAGGAGAAAAGAAGAGGTTTGGTCTGAAACTTTGTTTAAACCTCGTTTGATAAGAAAAGGTTTAAAAGTGACATTAAATGTAACCCGATTGGTTCAAAGGTATGAAATTTGTATAGCTACATGGATAGCTTGAAAGTGGAAAATGATTTGGTATTACGTTCTTGTGTATTAATATATTTGTTATATATATGAATAATTGTTTTTATAAAGGTTTTGGTGATCCTTCACCCTGCAATTACATGATTAGGGTAACTCACTAGACTCTTTAGTCTAACCCTCGTTTTTTTGTAATTTTAAATATGTATTGCAGGAAGTGTAGAAGGTAAGGGAAAGGGAAAGATGTAATGCTTTTCTTATATGCATTACGGATGAGGAATTGCTTTTTATGCATAGTTTTGTTGATTAGTACAAGATATATATTTTGAATTTTGGACCTTGTATTTGGTCATAGTAGATTCTTGTACTAAGGGACCCGAATGGTATATGAATATGTATTTCTTTGGTATGAAATATTTGTTACATGCAATGTGTGGGTTGGGGCGTTACACCTTGATAAAGTAGATGCACTATCACAGTGTATAGAAATTGGCGGCATTGGCTTTGGCCATAAGGGCATGTTGATCAACAAGTCCCTTAACCATTCTGCTTCTTTACAACATGAAGCTAAAGCGACAAATTCCTCTACCATAGAGTAGAATCTGTTATGCAACTTTGTTTCTTTGATCCCCAAGATACTGCACCCTCACCAAGTGTGAAAATCCAACCACTTGTGGATGCATAGTCTTCCTGATCATTAATCCAACTTGCATCAGTGTATCCTTCCAATACTAAAAGATATCCACTATATTCCAAAACATAATCCATGGTTTTCTTTAAGTACTTGAGAACCTGATTTGCAGCATCCCAATGTGCTTTTCCCGATTTACTAGTGTGCCTACTTAATGTTCCTACGACATAGGCGATATCAGGTCTAGTACATGTCATTGCATACATTAAACTACCAATAGCTTTAGCATATTCATTTTGAGCTAAAATTCTTTAGGTATTCATCGTTAATCTAGAACCTACTTTGAATGGAGACTGACAGGTAAAAAGTCAAATTTGTAAAAACGCTTTAATATCTTTTCAATATAGTGAGACTGAGATAACATTAGTTTATTGTCATCTCTAAAAAAATTTATTCCTAAAATAACATAAGCTTCTCCCAGATCTTTCATATCAAAATTTTTATATAAAAGTTTCTTTGTCATTTATACTTGTTCTAAGTCGCTTTAATATCTTTTCAATTCAGGCTCAGCGAAGACAACTCCTGCTGAAAAGTCTTTAGCATCAGACGTTGTAATCCCTACCACTAAAGTCTCTTCTTCAGAATCAGTGAAGACTTCCACTGAAACTACCTTGGTAGTATCAAGGGTTGTTCCTYTYTCCATTCAARCCTCTTCAKGTTKAATGATGCCATCTACTGATAATGATTCGTCAGTATCAGATGATGAAGCCTCTAACAAAGCTGGACCCAAATAGCTGGGTACCAATAGCAATTCTTATTTTGTTTCCTTGCTCAGGATGTCAAAGGCATATGGTATCTGGACAGTGGCTGTTCAAGACATATGACTGGAGATATATCTCYTCTATCTCACTTCAAGGAAGAAAGAGGACCTTCCGTAACCTTCGGTGGAAATGGAAAAGGATATACCAAAGGCTTTGGTATATTATCCAACGGTACAACAACTTTCAAATGCGTTGCATACGTTGAAGGACTGAAGCACAATCTTATTAGCATCAGCCAACTGTGTGATAAAGATTATACAGTTAAATTCTCAAAGAATTCTTGTCATGTTCTCGACAAAGATGATAAGGTTGCTCTAACCGGTTCTCGTCTAGAGAATGTTTACATCATCAATATGAATTCTCCTCTAATTGAGAATAGTTTCTTCTTCTCTAAGGCCTCATTAGATATTAACAGGTTATGACACAAA